GATTCATCCAGTGTAGCACGCCCATAGCAAGACCATGCAACCAACGAATCAGCAAGCGCCGCCTCAGCAAGGATTTAGAGTGCGCGCGTGACAGACTCCAAATGCGCGTGGAGGCGCGTGTGAGAGTGGGGAAGGTGGCAGCGCGTGGGGAAAGCTTAGGGAGGCGCGTGAGGGCGCGTGTGGGACCCCTACAACTATTGGAAAAGTCCAGAATACCCTAGGGACTGTTTTGTAATTTCCAAAACCTTAAACTTGCATTTTTGGGCCTAGGGTTGGTATTTACGGGTTTAACGGGACATTAAATTATTATTTTTATTATCCGTTAATTATTATTAAGTCCGATTAATATTTCTAAACATTAATTGTATCGTTTATAGTACGAAGCGCTATTAACGGGGGTAATTAATTTAATGACATATTTAAATATTAATTGTGTTATTATTTTAAATTGTATTAATCATTAATGTTAAATTAAATGATTACATGGTTTTATTCATATAAATTGTCCATTATACATTACGGGATTATTTATGTTGTTAATGATATATAAATCATTACTATTATGCTGCGTGCATTTCAGGTAATAAATGGACTGCTAAATAAATTATGTCGCAGTTATATTATATAAATGTGTTGCCATATAGAACCATGTGAGCTGACTAATAAGTTAAGACTCATTTATACCTTATGCATTCGTTGCCATAGACAGCTGTGTGACTGTCGGGGTATGTGGTTTAATATTATTGGCATGTGTTGCCTAAGTGATATGCTCAGTATATTCATTAGTACCTTGAGATGTGTTACCACTGTGTAGGACTTATAGTCTGTGTTGTCAGTACCGTGCACCATGTATGAATAGCTGATTTCCCAAGTAGGGAAAGAAGACACGTAACCACCTTGTGTGAGTCTAAGTGATCACCGTCTATTCTGGTTGTGGTCATATTATACATTGTGTAGTTTCATTAGGGTGTATACAGATATAGTATACTTCCGAATAATAATGATTAATTTATTTGATTCTCTAATTTAGGTCATGGTAGAGAGGACTTGCTCGTGGGGTTGACCCACCATTGTTGTTATTTCAGGACAAGGTCAGTACCCGTTTCAAGGGTGAGGCTTAGCAGTGTGGGACCACCATCCGAACTCATCTACTCTTACGATCTTGTTCAGGGTAGAAGTTTTATGTATTACTTTGATTTCAGTTTTATTTACTTTCGATGTTGAACTTTCAGGTTTATATTTAGGGATCCTTGACATAGGATTTTCAAGTTGTATAAAGGAGTATTGTATTTAATAAAGAATGGATGGATGTGTTATTATTTAGTTTTTCCTTTCATGTCTAAGTTCTTCTATTATTATCATTTTGTATTCCATGCTTGTATATTACCAATTGTTTTTGATATCCCTCATTTTTTGTATATAAGCCTGATCAACTTATGCGTGGAAAATGTGGGGGTATCACAATAGGAATGACTTATAATTTATTTAAGTTTCCTACACCATATATCATACACATACTGAATCTTAAACATGCTGATATTTTATTATACAGTCAAGTAAGCATTCTCCATATACAATTTATGCTATACATTTAATCTTAATTGCTATAACAAAATAAAGATTAAATCCATTCATTCCTCAAAGAATTCAAATAGCATGCATTGTTATCTTTAAATCTATTTAAAACTTATTTAAACTCATACCTAGTCTTTATTTGATGTTTAGGACCCTTCAAATTAAATTAAAATTAATTCAACGCTATTTACGAAACTTCCCTAGGTAAGGCTCGAGCTTTTGTCCTAATTGCTTGAGCTCCCTGTTTCAGGCTCGAGCAATGGCGAAAGAGCCTGCGGCGAGTTCGATAGAGATGCATAAATTGTTCATGAGGGGTAGATTGGTCCAATTTATTTACTTGTAAAGTTAAAAAGTCCATTAAACGGTCAAAAGGCAATTTGGTCAATTTCTCATGCCAGTTAGCTGCATGGGTGCCTTTGTCCACTTTTGAACCTTCAAGTGTGTCATTGTCCAAAAAACAAGTATTTTATATATGTGTGTCCTTTTGACAAATCTCAGGAGATGTTAATGTATTTTACCCAATTTTAAAAGTCAACTAAGGGCAAAGATTCCCTCAATTATTTTTATTTTAAATTTTAAATTTATATATAAATACTCCGTATATAGAATAACTGACGGACGAAGATTCCCTCCATTATTTTCCTCTGTTTGGCCTAATTTGGTTTGAGGGTATTGAAAGGAAGAGAAAACAAAGGTCAAGAATGTAAATTCATTAAAATATTTTCCTCTTTTTGTTTTCATAAACATGATTATTATTTTATTTCTTTTTTTCTTTATTAATAATATTTTCTCATTTGCTTTCTTTTCTTCTCAGTTAATTAATCTTATCCTTTCTTTTCTTTGATCAAATAATACTACTGGCTTAAAAAAATGATTAATCAAGTATCATGTATGAAAGCAAAAAAAATAGTAATAAAGAAAATTTGTTGTTCTTAAAAATTCTTTGACACTCGGTCAAATATGATGAGGGTCCTTTTACCTTGGTTAATTACATGAATCACTCTTATGATTTGTCATAATTATATGGACATCTCTTATAATTTAAGAAATTACACGGACCTCTCCAGAAAATGAAACTAACTTATACATACATCTCCTACTAGCAACGGACCGTCAAATGGACTAACGGACCTGTCTAATTTACTAAAATATCCTCAAATTACTGACCTTAATATTTTATTGGGTAAATTACATGAACTTCCCCTATGGTTTACCATAATTACAGGAACATCCCCTGTAATTTGAAAAATTATTTGAACATCCCTTAAAAATGAAACTAACTTATACGTATTTCCTTTCTTAGTGATGGACCATCAAATGTAATAACAGATTTGTCTAATTTATTGAAATACCCTCAAACTGTTATGGTAAATTACTGCAATACCATCTGTATATGTGAGAGAGATAAGATAGACGAAGAGAAGTCTGTGTAAATTAGTTTCATTTTTTAAGAAAGTCTAAGTAATTTTCTAAAGTACATGGAGGTACGTGTAATTTACCTTCTTCTTTTTTTTTTTTTTTTTTTTGTAGATTTCTAATGTCTTTACTATCTCTTTTTTTTTTTAAGATTTCTAATGTCTTTACTATCTCTCCACTCTCTGCAAACCCATAAGACGTTTAGTTATCATGACGTCCTCACCATGAACTGCCATAATTATTCAAAAGTCAAAATATGTGACGTTCGGTAGAACAAGTATACAATTTTAGTTGGGAACATACAGCAGCCGGCTATTTCATTGGAAAATTGCTTGCTTGCATGGAACAGCTCTGATTGAATCTGTTCCTAGATTTCCACTAGGGGAAAAAGTATTGCTTGTGATTCATGAATCTGTAAATTTTTTTATTCTTATTTTAGTAATTTTTTGGCCTTATCTGAGTTCTGCCAAATTGCTGAATTCATTGATCCAAACATCAATGGGTTTTTCCAATTTATTAGCATGAGACAATATTAGAAAACAACTCTAAAATATATTTCGTGTAATACTTTGATCTTTTATTTTTAAAAAAAATGGATAAAAAATATCTCTAATATTTTCATATTGTGTAAAAATATCTCATATGACATAAATTAGTATTATAATAATCGTTTTGCTATTTTACTCTTCCAAAAATTGTCCAAGGGGATATATATGCTACTAATATCATAATATAGCGGTGCTATGTGCACATTACCTTATATATATATATATATATTTTTATTTTTGAAATTTTTCTCTATATATATCTCTAAACATTTTTTTTTTTTTTAACTTTAAGAATTTGTAGAACAAGGACTTGAATTTTTTTAGGTCCCTTTGAAGTCACAAAGAGTGTTTTACTGAGTAAAGATTTTGAATCTTTGAAAAAAAATATTTGTTTTTTTTTTTTTCTTTATTTTATTTTTTTCGCACCAACACTGCTAACAAAAATAATTAAAAAAATATATATTTCCCAATATTAGTGTGCACTGATTTTCGGAGTTTGGAAATTTTTTGTTTTCTTTAGTTTGCACTTTATTTTTGTTTTTTATTTTTTATTTTTATCTTTACTTTTCTTTTATAATTTTATTCTTATTTTATATTTTTATCTTTACTTATCCATTGTCGGTGTCCTCCAATAATGCCATTTTCGGTCATTTTATAAAATTATTTATTTTTATATACTTTATAAAATGGTTTAGTAAGGGTAATTTAGTCAACTTAAGATTTAAATTTGTCAAAGGGACCATCTGCACCAGATTGAAACTTTAAGGATGTTTTTTGCACGAGAGGGGCATCCTCCATAGTGTTCTTTTCAGTCATTTTCCAAAATTATTTATTTTTATATATTTTATAAAATGGTTTAGTAAGGGTAATTTAGTCAACTTAGGGTTTAAATTTGTCAGAGGACCTATTTGTACTAAATTGAAACTTTAGGGGTGTTTTTTGCACATGAGAAGTGTGATATGCACCGTAAACATACTTTAAGAATATTTTCTGCACTTCACCCTTATTATCATATATTATTTTTCCATAAATTCCTAAATTGAAAAACCATTGCTTGTGATTCATGAGTCTTTAATTTTTCGCCTTATTTGAGTTTGTTCAATTGCTGAATTTATTGAACCAAACATCAATAGGTTATCCTATTTATTAGCAGATTTTATTTTTCCATAAATTTCTAAATTTGTGACCAATATAACTTAACCCAAGCTTGATCTCAGCATTAGAGCATTTTCGAGTACGTGTCATGCTTAAGCAAGAGTAGACGATTAAAAACAAACAATGAACATATCTAAGGTTATTATTATTTTACTCAAAGTGACTACTCTGAAATCAAACTCAACAAACAATAATGAACACCTAAACTAAAATATTAATTTTGCCGATCAAATCAATCAAGTATAGAAAGAATAGAGCTCCAAACAAATTAAAAAATCCGACTATAGAAAGCAGCAAATGCTACAATTACGAAATGAGAGATTCATTTCCAGATACCGTCGAACGTACATTACAAATACAAATTAATAGAGCTCCAAACAGGACAAAGGTCACCTTCGAAATAATTTCATTATTCTTTGCAAGTCTAAAACAAATAAAACTCCAACCAACCTTTTTACTCAAAAGGAATATTAATTAAAATCTTATCAGCTAAAAACTGGCCCATGAAAAAACCAAAGTAAAATAAAATAATGTAGCAATGGATACATGGGACACTGGCTCAACCAGAACATCGACATTTGTGATATTTGAATTTGTTGAATAATGATGTGTAACAGAAGCCTAATAAGAGGAGGCTAGTGGAAACTAAGACACCGGATGATCAAATGGTGAGATTTTCTTGAATGGCCGTAAATGTCCCCACAATGTTTCCGCCCATATCCGGAAATGTTTCACAACCAGGAATAGGCTTTACCTTGCCTGTTCGATCAACTTCAACTGGGTACTTGAGAAGGTGACCATTCATTTCAGTAATATCTTCAGCAGCATATTGCTTCCAGTTCAGCTCACTCAGGTATCGTACTCGTCTAACACAATCGAGACTATCAGGTTGCTCAAAATAATGCTCGAGAAAACCTATGTGCTCTGCCCATAGTGACATTCTGTACCCATAGATCTGCACTCAGATGCACATAGCAGATGTTCACATTCATTACTTGTTACATAAAATATATGTAGAAAGTTGTCTTAAAATCTATGACAGAATGCCAAGAGTGCTAACCATAATATATGTGACAATTGAAAACTTAATCGCAAGTCTTAACTTGTTCAAAATATGCTAGAAGTATGACTTAAGAAACATTAGGCTAGAGTTGTGTTAACTCAATATTGCTCTCATTAGTCTCAACAGCGACCACTCAAGTATGCATCACTAGGCCTCACTTTAATAATTTGGTCGAATGGAATAAATAACAGATGAATTGCATGCCAATGTGTGAATATGGAATTTTAGACACTTCCTACACTAAAAATTACCAATGCTTTGAATCTCAACAATGCATACCTTTTTCAATGTTGATGAGGCTCAACAACAACAAAAATTGTAATATTATTTGCAATTATATAGACTGTATCATGCTTTTGAAATTTTATTTTTTGCTAAACATCAATCAATTTTTACTCCCTTGATAACTAAAGTACAGTAGCTATCAGTTTATCTAGTACTAGAGCCAACAAAAAGTCACCATTCCCAATGCAAAATAACTGAATTACACCTGATCAAAGCTTACCTGGCCATGGGGACTAGAGTATTTGCTTGCCCAAGTATGCCGAGGTTGATATGCACCCATTGCAATTTCAGTGTCTCTGGTGCCTTCTAAGGAACGTTGGTTGATGTTTGCAGACCCCAATATAACATACTCGTCATCCACTATCATTCCTTTTGAATGGACATAAATCATGAAGCGTCGATTTTTCCTAGTGAGTGCCTGGATAAACAGCACAATTAAAGATAATTGATTGGAAAATTGGGAAGTATAACATTTGGGGAGAACTGAAATAGTAGTTACAGGGGTAAGATAAATGTACTTGGGGAGTTTTTGAGGAAATAGGATTTCCTTCATCTGAAGTGTCTTCCCTGTCTTGAGCCTCACGATTGCCAAGGCAGAAGAAATTCAAATAGTCTTGAGGTTCATATTTGTTTTCAAGCCCTACCTCTTGTAAAGCTTTGTAAATTACTTCATACATCATTTGCATTGTATTATGCTGCATAAAAAATTAACAATATCACCAGGTTCATAAAATGCGGCAAAAAGCCCATAAAAATTGCCATATTGTCACAAAAGTATTTGCACAGAGACTTGAATTGCGACTATTCTGAACGACACAAATATAACTTTAAAACTAGTTTAGATACATTTATATTGTACCTGATTCTTTCAACCCCAAAATTGCCTGAATTACAGTGTTCTTTCATTTATTTTTGAAATTTCAGAAATTTTATGTTCAGTATGCGCTTTCTCTGGAGTCAATTGTGAAGAGATTCAAGTTTAAACAACTATTTTACAATTTTGGATTGCCAAAATAAATCAGCACTTTTCCTATGCTATGTTGTGTCTTCTTTGTTTGTTTGTTTGTTTGTTTGAATTTTTTTTTTTTTTTATTATTTTTTTTTTTAGTGTAGAAGCATTGTATTAGGTCTAGGAGTTATGTGCTCAAATCACCTACGCAAGGGTCCACCAACAAGGGTTAGAAACACTAGACAAACCCCAGGTCGCATATTCTGTGGTGGCTTCATTCTCAATGATTATAAAAATGATATGTGAAACACAATGCCGTGATTCAATTTTCAGGGGTATTCTAAATACTCCTTCAAAGGATGATTAAACATAAACATTAGCACAGTTTCTAAATTATTACAGCATAAGAACTTGAGTTACATCTTTTTAAGATTAATATTATATGATCTAGCATGATAACTGTTAAATTTGTTTTCACATAAAGCAGTCTAAAAAGTAGTAAAAATTTACCTGCCAAAAGAGAATCCTTTGTGTAGGAGTACTTGTAGGAACACCCTCTGGCCACATTGGGATGACAATATATACTGAAAACCTCTCGTGTGCTCTAATTTTATTAGCAATTTTGAGAGCAATTTCCATTGGAATTAAATTGTTTGCACCTGCATATGAAAATGGGTTATTATAATCATAAAATTATGCTCACTTGTGTGTCCTAGAAATTCCATATGAGCGAAGAAACATAGAATCTTACAACAGCCACCCAACCCTGTCTCTTTCGGGATTCCAAGTTTTTATTTCTCATTCCATGTTATGCCAGCAATCAAACTCGACATGAAAATAGAGGAAAAGAAGTTCCAGGGAAAATGAAGTAGAAATCAAGCATTTTAAGCAGCTTTCGTGCATTAAAATCCTTGACAAATACCATAAAAAATTTACCATACACCTGGCATGTTACATTGACAAGTTTAAATAGTACTATGACAACATATCCTTATCCCATCCCATTCCTGTTTACCTAAAACGTAAAAGTTACTCACCTAAGTTTTTGTAATTAGTCCAGTTATATGACGACCCAAGGAAGTACTGGTTCTCAATATAAATGAAATGTTGGGCAGCACGAATTGCTTTTATGTATGCTGCATGTATACTCATGTCTATCAGTACATTCTTCCCGCATACCAGGTTCTGTTACAATGCAGTGGAGAGGTTAGCCAGTTAACCACAATGTAGACAAGAATGATTTCACAATCATAAAAAATAAATTAATCTCACCCTGCTCATGGCATCTTTTGGGTCTTTCGGGAACCCCTTAACAGAGCTGGAATCAATTGAACGAAATACCTATAGTTTTTGAAGAATTGGTCATGAAAAATAGAGTAATAAGGGTAAATTAGTATTGAAATTGAGCATCAAATTTAGTATATTCTCAAGAACTGACAAACCTGGACATGCCAAGTCTCAGGATCATCCTCTCTCAGGCAGGGTGCATCATCCATTTTTAAGATATCAGAGATTCTTTCAATTTTAAGTAAGGAATCATCATATGACGATTTCATTTTCTTAATTTTTTGTAGTCCATGGGGTTTTGAAGCCCTTAACCAGCGCTGTTCAAAATTGGTGAGGATATCATATGCTGCTGGACCATCAATTCGAGAGTGTAAATCATGCCAAGGTTCTCTTGGACAACCAACAGCAGGCCCCTGTTCAAAGCAAAAACACATAGTTGGAAAAGAAAAAAAAAAATTGAGAGAGTAAAAGAATGTTCTATCATCAGAATCGGAAGTGATTGTGGCATAAACTTTCATACAGTTTCCTTTCTTTACTTCATTTATTTATTTGGCGCCAAAAGTTAGAAAGTAGCCCAGCCACACAGGCCCATGTGGTAAGTCTTAAACTACCGACTCCCTGAACTGTAGTCTTTTAGCACTTGTACAAATATACATTACAATCAAATCAGAAGGTGAGTAAATTACCATAAACTTCTTTACTAATTCCACTATATCCCTACCAAATTTGAGTCATAAAAATTCTATATGCTTGGTTTCATGCACATGACATTTGAAACTGATGGTATAAAATATAAAACCTAGTATTTGTAATGAAAAGTTTTACAACGAGAGCAACACAACTTTATATATATGTGTGTGTGTGTATATATATATATATATATATATATATATATATTTTATGTTAGGTCAATAGGACTTAGGTTGGCAAATTTCGTGTCTAAAACTAGAGTCTGTAATTTAAGTGTTTTTTTTAGTTAGAATTTTGATAGATAGTTAGAGTCAAGTTATTCAAAGGCAGACTTGGTATTGAAGCTACATTCAAGGGAAAAAAGGTAATCTCAAATACCGAGGGTGTAAAAGTAAATTAACACTCATGTATGCACTCACCAAATTAGGGTTCATGCATCCATGAATTAGGATTTTGTGTTGTGTGTGGAAAAATCCTTATTTGATATGCCTTATAACCTCTTGAAAACTTCCGTGTCGAAAATTTTGTAAGTACAGGGATTCTGATCGGACGAAGGATCAACCAAAGGCTTCTAGAATTGCTACTCAATCAATCGAACAATATGGAAGCAAAGTTTCCTTTTCTGATTTAAACTCTCTTAACCCTTATGCTGCTGCGTTTGGTGTGCACAGTGCAGGAATGGAATGGCATGGAATGCCCATTCCAACCATTCCTTTGTTTCATATGCAATTTAAAGTGGGATTGACCGTTCCATTGGAAAGAAAATCCATTCCATAGAATGAAGATCCATTCCACAACTAAACCTATGGAATGGCCATTCCATTCCCAAGTAAGTTGCTTTTAAAAAAATCAATTTTCCAAAAAACCCTCATGTTCCAAGTTCCAACACCACCGCCGCCGCCGCCACTGCCTTCCACCACCACCACCTTCCAACACAACCACAGCCGCCTTTCCCGCCGCCGCCTCTATTGCCTTTCACTACCATCACTGCCACCGCCACCACCTCTGTTGCCGCATTCAACCACCTCCGTTGCCTTCCACCACCGCCACCTCCACTGCCGCCGCCAACACCACCACCACCGTCTTCCACCACTATCATCTTCGACCACCTCCACTTCCACTACCTTCTACCACTGCCACTTTCCACCACCACCACCACCTACACCACTGAGGCCTTCCACCACTACTTCCACCACCGCCACTGCCAATACCTCCCACTATCATCACCTACACCACTGACTCCTTCCACTACTACCACCACTGCTTCTATCACCGCTACCGCTACTGTCACCGTCTTCCACCAACACCACCGCCGCCTTCCAATACCACCACCTACACCACTGTTGCCTTCCACGACCACCATCGTGGCTGCCATCAAACACCGCCACCATTTCTTTTAAAAAAATTATAGAAAAATGTTATTTTGTCTATTTAATTTATTTGTCACTAAGAGTGGTATTTTGGAGAATTCAATTTGAAATTCATTCCATTCTAAATTTTAAATTGGTCCAACCAAAAGCTAGAATGATTATTATCATTCAATTCTTACACATTTCATATTTGCAACCAAACAATAGAATGAGAATGACCATTCCATTCCATTCTCATTCTTATTCCATTCCCACTTGCATTCCATACCATTTCTGCATATGGCATACCAAACACGGCATTAAAGTTTTCAAGGAGTCTATTTTTTCTATAAATACATCTAGTGTTCTAAAACCTAGAGTATGCATCATAGAGTGTCTCTAAGCATACTTGGTGCAAACCGAGTGCTTTCTAGCAATCCTTTGCTCGAGTTTTATTTAAATTAATATTTATTATTCATCTAGACCGTGAGTATGCATATACGGTATTGATCATTTATAGTTCCTGTGGGTACATAAGATTCAACATTAAGCAAGAAGCAATCTTACAGAAGAACCGATTAGACGACTGTAAGCAGTAGCACAGAATTAGATTAAGTGGGAAACGAATCTATTGACAGAGCGGACTGTATGCCTTAAGACTCAAGTGGAAGGTTTGGTGGACTAGTCTGTGTCAAGAGATAACTAGGAGTTCTGGGATTTTGATCAGTTTGGAGTTTGGACCAGGCCCCATGGTTTTTTTTCTTTGGGATGTCTACGTAAAAATTTCTATTTTCATTGTGCTTTTATTTTTTTTTAGCTTTCATATTATATGTTTGATGGTTAAATGATTATTGCATGATGGATCAAGTACTTTCATAATTATCATTTTAATTTGTACTTTAAAATTTCTGGTAATTTAATTAAAATTCAAAAGTTAGTTAAAATTAGTTAATCAAGCAAATAAGACCAGTTAATTATCTAGATTTTTGTGAAAATGATTCTTTTCGGGAACTATCCAACAAGAACACCACCATATCACTTTGAGAGTTGACAGAATCAGACATCTTTATAACTACATATCATCAATTCATTTAAAATGAGAATAATGGAAGTTTGCACACAGTCTTGGATATATTGACCCATAAAGTTATACCATATTATGATTAAATAGTTTAAAAATACAGAAAGTAGCATATTTCAATGTGAGTCCGTCAAAGGTATGATGTTCCGAAATTAATTTTAGCATTTTTGGTTTCTTTAACGTTATAGCTTCACTCTATAGAATTCTGAACTCATAATTATCACCACTAATTAGTATTGGGAAAATTCTAGATGTGGCGAGTATATTTCATTCTCTATGTTGACAAGTAGTTGAGTAACACAATACAGATACATCCGCATGTAATACACTTGTCTTATTTCCATTGTTACACTGCAGTTTCAATTTTTTATGGTTATTTTGCCAAGTTGATAGGAACAATAAAATGCCATTGGGTGAGACCATTTTTTTCTCTTTTCTGTATTACCAAATTCATGCATTTGTCATCTCTGGTGCTAGCAAATCAAGGGTTTCGGTTGACAAGGCTAGGCACTTTGTCAGTAGTTTGGGCATGTGCCTGGGCTAACTTCTGTTCGAGGCAGTCCAATATTAGCTAGGTAACAGGTATAAAAAAAAATTGTGCTAACCACCTACTTTTATTTTTCATGGAGATACTCAAAGGCCCCGCTCCAACACACTTTGAAAAGTGTTACTCCCAGCAAGCCTGATCCTGCCCATTGATTGTCTGTGTTCCAATCCCCACAGTGACTAAGACCAGCTTCTTTCACATGACAATGAAGGCTCGTCCAATAATCACCTAGGTAGGTAACAGGTATAAAAAAATATTGTGCTAACCACCTACTTTTATTTTTCATGGAGATACTCAAAGGCCCCGCTCCAACACACTTTGAATAGTGTTACTCCCAGTAAGCCTGATCCTGCCCATTGATTGTCTGTGTTCCAATCCCCACAGTGACTAAGACCAGCTTCTTTCACATGACAATGAAGGCTCGTCCAATAATCAAGAATTAGAAACTTGTCATCTGATGCTTTTGATGAAAGACCTCAAAATTTTCATCAAGTCTTTCACTAGCATCTTTACTCCCAACATAATAAATTGATCTCTTATATTTAATTTTTTAAAGAACATTTTTAGTTACTTCATCCCATGTAAGTTTTGGTTGGCCTAATCATCTCTTACCGGCACATCTTCGGATCTATGTTGTATATGATCATACCACTTTCTCCAATTTTATCATTAATAGATGCTATTCCTAGTTTTTTCCTCACGCATTCGTTACTAATCTGATCTCTTCTAGTCACTCCTATCATCCATTGTAACATCTTCATTTCAGCTACATTATTAATGTGTTGCTCTTGTTTCTTTCTCAATGCCCAACACATTGCTCCATGCAATATACCTGGCCTAATAACCATCCTATAGAATTTTTCCTTTAATTTATTTGATATTCGTTTGTCACATACAACATATTTGAATGTCATCAATGCAGCATATTGAATTGATATCATTTGGATAAAAAAAGTTAGTTTCCATTAACCCAAGCACACCACAGACAATCTTATTGATGATAAAAACCCGTCCTTATTCTAAGTCCCTGTTTGCTGCTAAACCGTATATACCACAACAGGTTAAACTATTTGTAGATCTTAAGAAAAATCCAAGCCACACCATTTGACAAGATTACATTAAATGAGTTGGTAAGATATAAAGACTTCTTCAATATCACACACACAGATCATTGCTTATTAATGTACATTTACCGACCAAAGTCGCAATAATTGTATAATTATTACTAAGGATGGTTATCTCGTAAGCCTCATGTATATTTTCAGACTTTTCTAGCATAAAAATTCCTTTGTATATGACACAGAAATATCCCCTTTGTGCATCTCACAACTAGCAGAATCATGCAATATACTGATGAAGTTTCTTAGATAAATCATAACTAGCAACCAGAGAAGAATAACAATACAATCTAGAGCAACTGGATAAAATCTAACAGAGACAAATAAATTGATGAAATGATTACCGTGAAATTAGGATTATGGTAGTCATCGTTGTGCACAGTTTTTAACGTGCTGAAAATAGGGTGTTTTGGAGTATCATATCGACCCAGGCATAAATCAAGACCTCCGACAAAGGCTATGATCTCTCTCTTGTAGTGACCTGCGTCAGCATCCACAATCACAGTTTTCTGATGATGGGTGTAGATTGTTCCTACTTCCTAATAACCAAAAACCAACAAAACAGGTTCATAGTAGACATTAAATCTGGAAATGATATATCAAAAAGCAACTTTAGGGCAAACAAGATTTGTGCACGTGAAAAGCTACCAACATAAAAACAAGTTCTGTTTTAGTAAATTCCAAATCCTTATTTAATCCACCTCGAATACCAACTGTAAATAACGCATTAAAATAAAGTATAATTGTTTACAGTGTAGCAAATTGAAAAGGCAGTGACATGAAAACAGCATATTTTGCTTTTAGTAATTCCAAATATTTATTTGATCCCACACTTCAGATGCCAACTGTAAATAATGCACTAAAATAAAGTATATATCTCTGCAATCTAGCAAATTGAAAGGAAAAAAAAAAAAAAAAACTGACAGTAATATAACATATGGTAAGATGTAACAAATTCAGTTAGGCTTCAACTACACTCTAGTTTCAGCATGATTTGGTTATCTGAAAAGGCCATTACTCAGTGTGGTACATCAAAAGTAAGAAATTTTTTACTTTTCTGTCTTCTTTGTCATTTCTTTTAACGTTGCCCTTTATTCCAATTCCATTTACTACTTTTCCCAAACACAAAAATATAGCATCACAAAGTACAGAAGTAAAATGATAGGAAAAAGTAGCAACATGGAAGTTTTTGCAATGCTGCAGAACACACAGTAAGCAGAGGCAGCACAGCATAGATAAGATAATTATGTTCTTTTACCTGTTTTTTGGCCCAACTATGTCCTTTTCCAGCAGATCGGGGGCAAAGTAGCACTTGCACTGAAGAATGCTTGAAAAAACGACGAGTCTCCTCATCACCGGTTCCCATGACCCCATCCTACATATTAAAAACCAATAAAAAACTGATAAAAAAGTTACTTGCTCCAAAAATGAGTAACACAGATGTACAAAAATTGATGCAGAAATGGCACTTAAAAATAGAGCTATCCAACTAGTTTTTATTTGATTTTTTATTTTCATAAAAATAATAATAAATAAATAAAACTTAAAAAAACCATGATAACGTAAACAAGGTAAATAACACGCCACACTACATTGTAAAGCCTCAAAGGGCTATTACTAGTCTTTTGTCTGCTAAAATAGGGTGCTGACAGGAATGGACTGCCTGAAGTGGCTACTCTCAGGGCTCAGACTCAGATCCACATTTTTACGCTTGATGGCCCAACATTTTCTTCTTTCATATTTTGTTTTTCTCCTTTGTTTTTGGTACGTAGGTAGAGAATTCTTGACAGCCCAACATTCTAGAGCCTAGCTCTAAGTTTTCATTACCGAAAGCATTTTCTGACTTCTATGGACTCTTTTATAAATTTAAATGAACCTAAATAATTCTACAATTCTTGCATCAACAGCATTGCAGCCTAAGTCTAAAAATCAGAGTACTTATTCCACACTACATAAGTTAATATAAGACTCAGAACTCATATTTCACCATACCATAATGAACAACAAACAAAGTGAGACTCATAATGAGAACCATAAGTTATGACAAACACAACGAACCCAAGATAAAACCAAGAATCACGACAGAAAAGTAAACACACCACACAAAGAACACAAAGATTTATACGTGGTTCAGCAACGGCCTATGTCCACGGTTGGGATCCGGCAAAAGTCTTCACTATGTGTAAAATCGGATAATACAAGTTTTCAACCCCACTCTGTTTCTGTACGAATTTCAGAGTCTCACTCTTACACCACTCCAAACGCTAAGCGCCCTTATACATCGGGCTACAAGAGACTAATTAGGGTCCACGACCCATGAGAAAAAAATGGGTCAAAAAATTTTCCTCGGGACAAGCCTTGTTGGGTCATAAGCTCATCCAACAAGCCGTAGGGTCGCGTACCAAATTCGGGCCACAACATCACACCATATCATATCATTGGCGCTCTGCAGTTAATTTTAACATATAGAAGTGAAGTGACACAAAGAGTTGATTAATTATTGAATGACCACATTAACATAGCCATTTAATGTTTCTTGTTCTCTCAACCATGGAGACCACATTAACATAGCCATTTAATTGTTGAATGATCCAACACAAACTTGATGTTGACCCTGCTAATGGTTCCTTGTTGAATACGGAGAAGATGCTCTTACCAAGTACTGCCAGTGGAGAAGAGATGAGGAGACCTTGCTGAGACAAAAGTCAAGAATCAACTGCCTTAAGGTGGGTGATCAAAACAGCTCCTACTTCATGAAATCACAGTCAGAGAAGCACTGAGAATAGAATCTGTTCCATTAGTGATGAAAATGGCCAGCTATATCTGATCCAAAGAAGTTAAATAATTAACTACTTTCAGAATTTGTTGGGGAATGAGGAGCAAGTTAATATTGCTACTGTAGAGGATCTCAAACCTTTTATTTCCAACCCCATGTCAGCTGAGACAGCCAACCAGCTTATTAAGGAAGTATCTGCAGAAGAAATAAAGGCTGCGTACTTTTCCATGAAAGACGATAAGGCCCCAAGTCCTGATGGACTGAACATCCTATTCTTCAAAAGCTCTTGGGATATAATAGGACCTGAAGTTATTCAAGCAGTCAAGTCCTGTTTTTATGCTGGCAGCATGCTCAAAGAGCTACACTCCACTCTATCTCCTTAATTACGAAGTTCCCAACCCCTCCCTTATCTTTGATGTTCGTCCAATTTCCTGTTGCAAAACCCTTTACAAGGATATTTCTAAAATTATAGCCACTAGGCTGAAATGAAGCTCCTCTCAATCTTACTTTATCCTAGGGAGAGAAATCATTGATAATTCGTAGGATTGGAATCCAAGGCTCTGGTAGAGAGTTGCGCAAGGTCCACTGATCTAGACCTATACGGAGGTGAATAGGTCTTATATAACTAATTAGCGGTTTTAACTAATTTTCAAATTGAAATTTGAAACTACTTTAACCTAAATTTAAACTAAGAATTATGGCAAATAGTAAAAACCTAATTAATCCACAGCTATTTTTAGCAATTAAAACACAGCAATAATAAGCAATTAAAACATAAGGAATGGACACCAGATTCTTACGCGGAAAACCCTAAGCAGGAAAAAGCCAAGGGACCTAGTCCAGGCAAACCAAATCCACTATAAGGCTCCGTTTGGCTAGATGGAAATAGGCAAGAAAAGAAAAGAAATGGAAAATGAAAGGAAAGTGAAGTGAATGAAAAGAAAAGTCATTTTCTAGCATACATTTGGTTAGAATAAAATTTTATTCAAGAAAAATGTAGAAAAATATTAGTTTATTATTTTGGATAAAATGAAAGTGAAAAGAAAGTGATTGAGCATACCAAAATTACTCTTATGATTTCAAATACTAAAAAATAAATGAATTTGTATTTGATGATGCCTATTTTTAGCAAATGAATACTAAAATGATGGATTATTAAATTTAATAATATAATTATTTATATTTTATTTATATTTAAACAAAAAAAAAAAAATTGAGACGAAGAAATTGATGGCAATACTAATTTTTGAGAGAGATTTTATTGAATGTTATTGTTGCCAATTATATATGAACTTGTGGAAAAACAAAGAAAGAGTTGTTTTGCAGAGAACTTGCATCTTTGAAACCCAATAAAAATAAATATAAAGAAAGAAGTTGTTTTGCACAATTAATTTAATGGGTAAAATAGGAATGTCAAATAAAAAGGCACTCCTTTCACGGGAAAATATTATTTTCGTATGTTTTGTGCCGGAAAAGCTTTGGGAGAAAATAGGCAAGTATGGAAAACTAAATTTTCCATTTTTTTTTCCATCTATCCAAACTCCAGAAAATTTTAAAAATTTTCTCATTCCTTTCTTTTCTAGTTGATCCCACCTAACCAAACGAAGCCTAAGAGAATGAGATTTACAACCTAGGTTAAAAGATTCTACGCTAAGAATCCCCTAGTTACCTCCTTACACAAAAGACTCCAAACTTTCCCTCAAAAGTCTCCAGGAGATCTTCCACTCATCAACGACATCCATTTTTCGCAAACCTGCTTCTCTAGTGATTCGGTCTCAGCCACTTTTAGTCCAGACTTCAATCTCAAACAGTGGATTGAACAATTGAGTTGAACTCTTCTTTGTAGTACACAGCGATGGATGTCAATACATTAACAATACACTCACCAAAACTAAGTATGATAAATGAAAAAGAAAACTGAGATGTTCTAAAAAAAACTCAAACTATTAAATTCTTGGTATATTAATCTCATTATCTGTATTCTGCCCTAGCATAGTGCTTATATAAACCAAGTTGAAAACTGCTTTTCCGAAAGGTTCAATCTATCAAAATTGTCGTTGATTGATCAAGAACACTCCAGAGGGCTTCGAAAAAATTTCAACACCCTTTTGTATATTCTCTGTATATGTAGTCTTCTGTAGGTTTATACTTGGAAAAAATTTCAAAAACGAAGTTTCCAACACTCTTTTCATGCAAGATTAAACAATTTAGGTAATCAAGTCAAATTGAAATCACGAAACTTATTAAACCCTAGATATGCATGCATGAACCTTAATTTGGTGAGTGCATCAATGTGCGAATTTACCTTTATACTCTTATAGACAATGAGTACCAAAATACCCTTGAATGTAACATGACTATCATCTTCAACCTTGGAAGGTAACTAACACTAACTTCTGAAATTTTCTAATCTAAGCTAGAAATTGAAAGAAAAGTTATAGACTCGGCTTTGATCTAAGAAATTTGTCAACCTAAGTCCTACTGACCTAACACCTCATTTTCTTTCAATGTCATCTCACATCCAGAATATGGTCGTTTATTGGGCGAAATCTAGTTTGATTGGATGGAAACTATAGATTGGTCTTCTACCCACTTAAAAGGTAAATCCCTAAGTAAAGCTTTGGGCAGAATTATTTTAGCTACTATAGATTGGTCTGCTACTGACCTAACACCACCTTTTCTGTTTTGTCTTGAAGCTGCTTCTTTAGTTTTGATCAGTTTCAGACCTTGGTACAGAATGTACAGGGGGCCTCTTAACTCCTCTAAATGTTTGATCTATTGAATATAGCTATAGAAAAAAATATATATAATCGCAACTCACCAGAAAGCATTCTTACACTTATCTTTAGAACAAGAAGCTGTTCCAATTTGTCGGGAAGGCAAAGATCAAGCCTGTAACCCCATTGTTGTGGTCCACAAAATCACTGATTCTGTTATGAGCTAGAAATATTAAGTCATTCCTTATCTAACTTAACAAATTTAGAACAATGGTGGTCAAAGTTCTAAAGATAATGAGATGAATGAAAAATTATTCAAGGATGAACATATGGCAGACACCAAATAAAACCAACAATAAGATTAACATTACATTTAAATTCAAAATACACATAATAATTTACCAAACAGAAGTGTAACTTGTGAATAAAAAATGAAATAACTGGTATCTTACCGTTTGGAAACCCAAAATGCTCCTAGAAGTAGGATCATCCCAAACAAGGAGCAGCACTCTCACACCTTCCTGTGACTTGGTTTTAAGAAGGTCTCCTAAAATGCAATCTTTAGCATTATCATTACCCCGAACGAGTCCAAGTTTATGGTACACAGACCACCCCACAATGTATACCAAACGGCGGGCCTGACTTATTGCATCACATATGTCTTGCCAACAATCCCCATGCTCATACTGAGTGCCATTGTCGAGCATCAAATTTGGAAGGCAACCTTCATGGACATGGGCATCTTGATAAAGTGTTACCTTTCCGCCTCTCCTGAGGGGAAAATATGTACCCCGCACGCCATGATAATCAGGGCCTGAACCCACCCCAACATGGTACAGTGCCACTTTATCAATTGGGGTGTACTGAATTGATATAGTCAAGACAGCTCCATGCTTACATGGCTTCCCACTCGCATTAAGAATCGGGAAGGTGCCTTCAATTTTTGTGCCCGAGTACAGTTGCTCTACTGGTACCCCAACAGCCCCAATGATTTGGGAACCCACAATATCATTGTCTTTAACAACAAAGTGCACTTCTGCAGCATAATGTGCAACGGGAAGATCAAAATGCTGCATCCAAGCCGGATTCTCGCTGTTACTGATCACAAAAGTCCTCCCAATAACAGCACTTGTTACCGAAATTGTAACATATGGATCACTTGTTATCTTACTAGCCACGTTCCCTTCAATTTTGCTGCCGAATCTGCCAAACATGTCCCCTAATTTCTTATGAAACATATCCATGTTAGGAAGGTTCTTGGCCTCTTTGACCCAAATATCTAAATTCCCATGTAACAGCAGGACCTTCAAAGACCCCGTAGAGGTCTTAAATGGCACAAACTGTACACCCTGACCATGCTGCGAGCCTTCAGAGAACGAATCATTATATACGGATTCAGCCATGTTAGAACACTCCTCACCACTTGAAAAGTTGAAATATTTGATACAAACTAACGTCTCAAATCATATAATCAAAAGAAATAAATCCAACACCAACTGGACAAATATCAAACAAGTAGACTACAACCAAGAAATTGCTCAGACAACATCCAATACAGAAATTGCTCAAACAAGTAAACACTGAATTGAGTCTTTGGTAATCACCAGAGAAACAATTGGCACTAAAATGAATCTGGGTAGTTCGTTGAAGACAGCGAATGATCGATAAGCCCACGATAAACAAAAGGACAACCACCCAGATGAGAATATAAGCTCATCTGATGGATTTGAATAGGTAAAAGATTGTGGGAATGGAAAATGTAAAAAATGTGGGTTTGAAGAATGCAGATATTGAATGAGGTTGGCGTTGAATGGATAAGATGATGAATTGAAATTTTCCATCATTAAAGAATTAATCAAGTGGACTATTTAATGAATATTATAATGGCAAATCTTCGAGAGAAACAAATATCAAAATTGAGTTCTTTCTTGTCTCATTTTTGTTTTTCTTGTTTTTCTCGATAGAGACTCGATTCGAAGGGAATTAACCACAGATAGACCGTTGCCAGTAGTGGACTAGCGAGAGATTCCGAAACGTTTCCGGACGAATAGTTAGGATGAGAAAGAGAACCGACAAAAAAATAAAGGATAAAAAATATATATATCTATATCACCTCCCACGAAATTTCTCACATTAAAGGAAAGAAATCAGCCGTCCCTTTGAAATTTGAACAAATACTGGTCAATGTATATTACTTTCACCATCATTAAATTTTTCATAACATTCTTATATTATAATAAAATATTATATTACATTTTATAAAAAAAAATAAATAAAATTATTATTTAATAAAATTTGATCAACTTATTTGTTGAAAATATTATAACCATATTTTCTACCATAGTCAAATGACTCAAATCCTATAATTTCATCCATTCTAGATGTTTTTCTTGTCTGGATTCTTGCTCATGCAATGTTGTTGCTCACCATCTGAGCCAATGGGCCTTGTCTCGTAAATATTTTGATCTCCACTATTCTGTTTGGCCTCCTTGGCTTTGTGAAGCCATCGAGACGGATCTTTCTTTGGTTGGTTCGGGCTTGTCTGACCCTGGTATGTAGTTCCTCTTCTCTTCGGTTAAAAAAAAAAAAAAAAAAAAGGATTCTTCTTCATACGAGTGACTAACACACGAAACACAAAACTGTAAAACAAATACTCATCACAATTGTTTTGAGGTCTTTTTAATAGATCACATGGTTTTAATTTAATTTTATTAAATTAAATTATTATTTCTTTTTCTGACTAGTTTAATTTTTATTTTAAGAAATTTTGAGTTGATTAATTATTTTATTATTATTTATACAGTGAGATCACACGGGCAACAATATAACTTGTCAATATTTTCATTTCTAAAATATGTTAATTTAAAGAAGAAAACTGCCTTGGATTAACCTTATTCTTATAATAATAAAAGAAATTACTAAAATTTATCCTTTCTTCCTTGGGAAACGATGGAGTCTGCTTCTTTTATTATTTTCTTTATTTTTTTATCTTGGCAAGTGATCGAGTAACACAGCTCGTTTTATTTCACTTGTTTTTCGGTAAGCATTTATAAATGTGTCCAATTAAGATTGGATATTGTTATAATTTTTCTGTGAGCATTTATAATTATTTTAAACCAACCATTCAAAGCAACCTTTGAAACTCTCTTAGTTAACTTGAAACTTGCCCTACTTGATTATCCTCACCTACGAGGCACCCACCTGTCCCGTCTAGTTTATTTTAATAAATTACAATTTTATCTTTATTTTATTTTATATTCAAATAATATTAGGTATATATTAAGCAAATTCTAGTTTATTTTTTTCAATCACTAAATATTCTTTTGTACTATTTTTATTTGGAAACTTTTATGTATTATTTTAATGTTTCAACAATAATTTTAGTTTTAAGTTTCAATTGAGAAGTTAAATTCTATTTTTATCCGCATGAGAGAGAGAGAGAAAATTATGATCATAGTTAAAAATTTTGTTTTATTATATACTTTTATTAAATTCGTATTACAATTACGAAAACATTTTATAAAATTCGTCCCGCTCCGATTAACAAATAATTTTAAGATGAAAATGAGAATAGAGATTCTAAATGGAAATAGCATTCCCCATCCCAAACAGGCGTCATTGCCACGTCTATCCTCAACTGCTCTTGGGCAAAGTCAACAAGCTGTGTTTTGATTACAAATACGAAAGGTCAACTTGAAATCCGGCTGCTTATTTGAATGGAATTAGTTACCAAGCCTTTCAATCAATGAAATGTCAAGATTCAGCAAATTTTCAAATAAAAATTAGGTAAAGACTCGGAAAAAAGAAAAGAAGAAGAAGTTACTGAAATTGACGACTTGGGGACAAGACACTTCTAACCCAAATTCATCATCTAAAATAAAAAAATTTCCCAAACCTTTTTGCTCTGTCCCACTCGGGAAAGCATAAAATATCTAAGAAATATTGTATTCTCACTCAATACAACTTTTCTTGACAATTATTTATTTTTTATTTATCAAAATAAATTGAGAGTGTCCATTAGGCATGGTATGACGTGTAAATACACCATAAATATTATATATTTTCTCGTCCTATACGAAAATTAGGGCGGCCTCATTATGCAAACTTTTTGAAAATAAAGAATTTTACACAAAAATATGAGTTTGTAAATATATGTTTATTACTAAGAATTTTGTGACTTTATAGTATCTATGACGTGTAAAGACACCATGGATATTATATACTTTTTCGTCCTATACGAAAGTTAGGGCGACCTTATTATCCAAACTTTTTTAAAATAAAGAATTTTACACAAAAATATGAGTTTGTGAGTATATGTTTATTACTAAGAATTTTGTGACTTAATGGTATTTCTTGTACCTCCCAAACTTAAAGTAAAGAATCTCAAAAGAATAAAGTAGATATACTAGCGGTTTGCATTTCTTGCCAAAAAATAAAAATAAAAAATAAATAAATAAAAATAAAAATAAAAATTGGGACGGGTCTAGCGCATTTGGGCTGTACCTTGTTGTTGGAACACCCTACGGTCCCTACTACGACTAGCAGATATTGATATCCATCAGGGCCATCCGGCTCATCCCAATATAGGTAGGAGACGAAAACCCACTGAGAAGCATGCAATTATCATCCATGTTCATGACATGATCTAATCATTTTTCTTCTTCTCAATTTTAGATTTTGTATAGTTTTGCCTCTTCAGAACCTTGTGTGTGTGTCTATATATGTCCATTAAAGATTTTATATCACAATCACAATTGAATCTCTTATGCAAGCCATATAATCATAAATTTTATTTTTCATTACTATTTCATTTGGTTTATTACACATTTGCATATTATTTTGAACAACCTCTCTTTTTATGCTTTGAAAGAAAAATGAGATTCTTTTATCTTTTCTTTGTTTTTTTCACTTCAATTTAAGGTTTCGTTATTTTAAGATTAAGGATTTTTTTAAAAAAGTTAAAAAGGGTAAGCTACTAAAGAAGAGAGAGAATATGTACATGGACGGTGGACCCCAGGGAAAAACAGACAGACTAATCAAAGCTACGCTACAAGAAAAATAATTTTTAATCACGGTGAAAGAGGCTTTTTGAACAAGCAGAGCTATAACATCCAACATAAGAGAGCCCCCAAACCAGCTTAGAGGAACTGAGCGGATGCAAAGATGCATCCGTCTGTAGAGGTGCTGAAGATCCTCAATATCCCCAAAGCTGTCTAAGGTCAGCAAACCTGATCTGATGAATGATCGATGCGATGAGCTGTAGCATTCCTCTCCCACCAGATGAAGCTTACGGCTGCAGAGAGAAGGAGCTTGTGCACCAAGAAGCTTGCAGAGCACTAGTTGTTAGTGCACCAGACAATGAGGTCAGACCAGCAACTAGGTCATGATCTGATATAGACCCTGCAGAGTGCTGAATAAAACTCCAAATTTCTTCTGTGAACTTACATATGAAGAAGAGGTGATCTAAAGACTCATCATTGGCTAGGCATAGGTAACAAGCATTGGCTTAGAGTCAAGGGTGTATCAGTATAACCTGCCCTTAATATCAAGCCAAGCAATGAAGCCATGCTTGGGAATGTGATGCTAGCTTAAGCCAAATAGAATAATGTCAGGGAGATCATGTATATGATGGTGGTAGGAAGTAATATTTGATAATGTGAAATAGGGAGAATCAGTTAGAAGTTGAGGGCAGCCATAAGATACTACTTGGTTCAGGGGATGGCAGAAGAAGACTGTGTAATTGGGAAAGGAAAACTTGAGACTGAAACAATGGAATATGTGATGGGGAGAATTAGATAGAACGAAATATTCATTAATCGATTAAAAATATTATTTCCGAGTTCTATTTGCCTATACTTTGTGGATTCAAAGTTGTAGAAGGCTCTGATACCAATTTAGAAGGCTCTGATACCAATTTGTAAGAGGCTCTGATACCTATTTGTAGTAAAACAGAATGGAAGAAGAAGATAATTTAATTTCTAAAATGATACTTTCTATTTCTTTTCTTCATATCTTCAACACAATACATAGGACTGGATATATAGCTTTGTGGGTACATAAATTCACTAGATACATGAATATTTTAGATACATATTAAATAAGATCTTTTTAGTCTTTCAAAGAATATGAACCTAATATATGGCCTTCAATCTTCCAAAGACAATGAACCTTTCAACACTCGATATTAAAAAATTTCTAGAATTTGGTTTAGTGTCCCAACAATGCCTCCCGTAAACCAAATTTACTTTTCATACCCAACTTTGCAAGGTTTATGTTGAGAAATGTTTCCACCAAGAGACGTTTTATTTTGTGACAGATTAATCAACTCCCATGTGCCATTCCTTTCAATGGCTTGGATTTATTCATTCATTACTTCCTTCCACTTTTCTTCTTTTCACTTCATAAGAGATTGAATCTTCCCCACAAACATTATATTGAGCCTTGTAGCCGTTACAAACATCAAATTTCCAATGCTTTCAAATGCAAAAATATACTTTGCAATCTCCTTTGATGTGCAAGCTTTGTATCTTGTCTTCTTCATGCTTCTAATATTTTTCTTCACCTGACCTTGAAACTGATTTCCAATGTTGTTCTTAAGATTCACTTGAAAATTTCTACATTTCTTGAATTTACTTTTGACTTGCTCATTGAAATCAAAGAAGGCTTCAATGTTCCCCTCACCCATGTCATATCACTTCAGAAATATTCTATACAAACGTTCTTCAATTTTTCTTCAACTATAACATCATCCAATTGAACATATTCCATTTCTTCTAAAATTGAGTATGTTGCTTCATGCGGAATTTCAAACCATTTGTTTTTTTCACCAAGATTTGATATTCCAATTTCTTCACCAAATTCAACTCCTATGATTTCTTCTTTCATGACAACTTCAGTGTCTTCAATATCTAATTTTTCTTCTTTCTCATTTTCATCTGTGAATATTTTTTCTTTATCAACATCAACTCCTTCTCTTCCTTCTTTTCTAAACTCCACTATCACCATTTTCTCATCTTGCATCTTTTTGCTTTTTTCATCAAATTCTATATTCATACACTCCACCTTTTCAAAATCTTCTTTTTCTTCCATTTCTTCCATCTCATCAAAATTTTCTTCATTTTCATCTTCCCAACTTATTTTTTCAAAAAATCCATCTTCATCATAATTTGGGAACCAATATTCAATGGATATTGATTTGAATTTATAATTAGACGAAGACATAAATTCAAGCTTTTGCCATACTTGACTTGGAGATTTCAAATTTTCAACATGCTTCCAAACCTCTTGATGAACTGCATTTTTCAGTATCTTCAGCACCTGTTCTTCTTTTTTGTGCTTGAATTTTGTTTAGCTTAAAACACTTTGGATTTTTTATCACATCATACCAAAAACTACATGCTTTAAGATAAACCGAAATGATATTGCTCCAGTAGGCATAATTTGAGAGAATTAATTTTTCATTCATTTTTCGGTGCCAAAATCACCTCCTCCTTGAATCTTCTTTCAATTGATTTTTCACGAGCCAAATATTATTTTGCTTCGTGCTTTAAAATCCTTCCACCATTCTGACTTTTGAATTCATAGAATCATTCAAGCTCTGATACCAATTTGTAGTAAAACAGAATAGAAGAAGAAGATACTTTAATTTCTGAAATGATACTTTCTATTTCTTTTCTTCATATCTTCAACACAATACATAAGACTATATATATAGCTTTGTGGGTACATAAATTCACTAGATACATGAATACTTTAGATACATATTAAATAAGATCTTTTAGTCTTTCAAAGAACATAAACCTAATAAGGCTAATATATCGCCTTCAATCTTCCAAAGACAATGAACCTTTCAACACTCAATATTCAAAATTTTCTAAAATTTGGTTGAGTGTCCCAACAAAAGTTGTTCTCCTTTTCATTATTGAAAGTTTATAATACGTACTACAATTACAATGACAAAAGTGATAATTAATACTGTTTTGATAATAATATTTTTTGGGAGAATGATAAATTTTCAATAAGTGAATTGTGTTTTTTTTCTGCAAACAAGCTAAGGCACAAAGGCTATTAGGCCATAGCACCAAAGCAAAGGCATCACAAAGGTCCAAGCTGCACAAAGCAAAAGATCTAGGCTATCAACAAGCAGCCTTAAAGCAAGAAATTAAGTTACAAAGGATGTCAGATGCTAAGTTCAAAGGCAATCTACTTCCAAAGCCAGTATATGCTGTATAGCTATCACTAATTATTAGGAACTGATTTCTCGATCACTGTTCTGCATATATAATTTCTACACAAAGCACTTTCCCTAGCTACATGTGGAGAAGATTTGCCTCTAAAGGCTGCAGGCTCTTGAATTTCTCTCCATCCATATGTGATAAAACAGTTGCGGAAAGGATTAATAGCATATGCACTAGAAATTCAATAGAATATTTCTTGTTGGATTTCCATAGCTAGAAACCAGCAATGTGTTGAAAGTGAATCCAATGTAGGGGCATTGGAAGATAAGATGATCAATGGACTCACCATACATGCGATAGGCGAAGAAAACATGCACGAAGGAAACTAGTGAAGGGTTGTCGATCAAGAGTGTCCAAAGAATGAAGTTAAACTTAGGAATATAGTGTTTAACCCAGACAAGGTGGGACCAGGTACAAAGGGGTGCAAGGGGAGCTAGCTAGGTATGAAATGGTGTATGCGAGAGAAAGAGAAGGACAACAATTTTGGATCCGGAAACCTTAGATCTTTTTATAAAAACGGCTCTCTGAAATTGCTATCTATTGATGATGAACAAGGTATGTGAAATTGACCACATACTGTAGATGATTTAGATATTGACGATGAATGCGTGAAAGTCAATTCTCTTCTTTCTTGTTTTTTTGCTTGATTTTTTTACATGTGACAAACTGACTTGAGGAACATATCTTACCATATAATATACCATATACATAATAGTTCTGTCTATATATAAAAGATTTACAATAAAAACTAAGTATAATTTAGTGAATTTTACATTAGATGTTCTAAAACATTCCTGAACGCTAGGTTTCTTACCATTCAGAAATTAGCATTGTTTAACGGAGCCCAATCAGTTGAGGAATTGGATTCTGAGTATGCAGGAACTGAACCACTTCTTCCATGGAAGGCCTATCATTTCTCTCACTCAAAGTGCAAACTAGTGCAATGTCCAAAACCCTAGTTGCTTCTTCTGAGTTAACACAGCATCCTATCCTTCTATCATACAGGTCATGAGTCTCTCCTCTTTCATGCAATCTCCGTGCTTGACCTAAAAGACTCCTATCTTCTCCTCCACCACCACTATCCGGAGCCACGCTCTTCTTTCCGGCAACGATTTCAAGTGCAAGCATACCGAACCCATAAACATCTGCTTTCTGACCGGCAACCGAATCGACCCGGTCACCCGGCTTCTCGGGAGCGACAACAAACCCGTAATCACTTAAGACCGCCCGGTAGTTCATGTCAATGAACACGCTGCTATTCCTGAGGTTACCATGAACGAGTCCTTTCGAGTGGAGGTAACTCAGTGCCCCGGCAACCTCTTTAATGAGTTCGAATCGCCGAGTCCATGGAAGAGCACCGAGTCCCAACAGCCATCTATCGAGGCTTCCATTATGAAAATAGTGGTACACAACAATCATCTGTTTATCGTCACAACACCAACCCCTTATCGGAGCCAAGCTCGGGTGACAAACCCGGCTCATCACTTCGACGAGTTTCACAACTCGCCGGCGATCCAAACCCACCGACTCAAAAAACCGAGTTGTGAACCGTTTAACTGCCACATGACACCCATTAAACAGTGTCCCTCTGTACAAAACACCATTTGAGTCACTACCCAGTACTGAAACTTCACTAAAGCTCCTTGTAGCCCTATACACTTCACACATGGTATATCGCCGAGCCTTGGTCGGTGGCAATGGTCTCGTCTTCTTTTCCGGTAAAATGGTACCCAGTACTGAGCTCTTTCTGTGCTTGCCATTGTAATATAGATTGACCAAAGTCACTGTAAGCAAACCCATTATTGCCACAAAGATCATGAAACTGCTTGGGGAGTCCTTGTGAACATTTATTTTGCAAGTTCTCGCCGAAGGGACTAGAAGATTAGCTTGAACTGTTGATGAGAAGTTCCATGATAGGATGTTGTGTGTTTGTGCTGTTTTCCCCGTAGAAGCTGAGAACCCAACAAACATGTATTCATGGAGATAAGGAGAGAGTTTGAGGGGCACAGACAAGATAGGTTTCGACGGAAAAGCTCCGGTGTCTGAGCCGAGGTGCACGTCTAGCCATTTCCGGTGACCGTCATAGGTGATCCAAGCTCTGTGGACTGAACCATCATTGAGGGACACCCCAACTTGTGATACGTTTGCAGTTTTGAACGAAATAATGCTTCCCAGATCAATACCCACATGATTATCGTTTGGATCACGGAATTCTGAGTCGTGACCGGTGTCGAATTCCACGGCAAATACCTTGTAATGGTGGTCACAGGCGTCGTTGAGGATGCCGAGCCATGGGCCGGGTCTTCCGATAGTGAACTCGTCTGACACGATGATAAAGGCAAGGCCACTACCGCCGGTGGCTGCGGTAGTGGTGGTGTTGAGTTGGAAGGAGAAAGTGGTGTGGAAGGAGGCTGGGGTTTGAGTGAAGGGGTCTAGGAGGCGGATAGGAGAGGAGTAGATGGCTCGGCCAGCTTTGTATGCAAGATCAACGGTTGTTGATGAATCAGGGATTTGGATAAAACCGGCCATATGATGATTTGAAAAGTTAGCATTTCCTAAGAGCTTGATATCTTGGTTGATGCTAGGGTTTTTGTTTGGGTTGAAAACTGAGAAGTAGAGGTGCTTGGTTGCGTTGGTTATAGGTCCTCTGTTATGGTGGTGCTTGATGGAGTGTGCAAAGGTTGAACTAATTGGTGATGGAAGAAGAGTAGTGTTTAGAGTTAGACTAATCATTAGCCATAAGAAGAAAGGGAGAGAATCCATTACAATAGCCATCATAATCAAGAGGGCTGTTGTGCTTGTCCCCTCTTTTATGCATGAATTTTATTTATTTAATCAATTATGGTGGTGTTCGGCTTTTAGAGCACTCCATAATCATTGCGAGTGCATAAAAACACTTAAATAAGATCAAAGTTAATCGTTCTGCTTTGGTCCTGTTCTAGTTTAAAAATCTAAAATTATTTATAAACGGTTCAATTTTAGTTTGATCAAATCGAATGACACGTATTAACATTCTACAGAATATATAATAGAATAGTAACTTAATATTAATCTCTTGTTCTTCATATACCTAGTTATTCTATAGGTAACTGGGACATTATTATAAATATATATACATATATCTTACATAATATATATATATATATAATAATAAATTTTCATTTTAATTTTTAGTCCTAAACCTAGAATGTACTGTTGGAGTTATGTGTTTCAAATTAATTACTTATTAATTTCCTAAAATTCTAACAGATGTCTTAATGAAGTTTTAATAAACTATAAATAAAGTTTTCTTCATTTAATGTATTAACTTACTTTAACTTATATGTTATTTATGGAAATTAAATACCTTCATTAATATTAAGTTAATTAAATCCCCATTACTACTAGTATAAATAGTAGGTTTACGAATCCTACAAGATACACTCTCTCTAAACTAGTTAGAGTTAATTAAAAGATATTTGAAAAGTGTTTTTTCAAATTATTGAGTTTGAGTGTGTGAGTTTCATATTTTCTGTTGATCGGACGGAGATAAATACACAGGTTCATGAAGAAGAAGTGCAACCTTCATGAACATACAGTTTTGATATCTGGGCTTAGTTGAATCCTGGAGATAGTGCTGCCACTTGTCTTCCGTTGCACGTGGGAGAGGCTTCAACTATCTTCAAGAAGCGATTACACGCCTCTAAGCCTCGATATTCCCCGTTTTAATATATTGGTTCCAACAATTTGAAGATAGTTTTCTCTCCAATGGCTTCATCATCGTTGCTGTCCAACGTTTTTTCTTCGATTTTTCAACCGAATATCGAGGCTTTTGATGGTAAAAATTACTTTCGTTGGAAAGGAAAAATGGAATTTTTCCTTCGACAATTGAAAATTGCTTATGTCTTGACTGAGCCATGTCCAACTCCTCCAGGAGACAAGACGCCGTCTGATCAAGTTAGTTCGATCAACGAGAAGATCTCAAGGTGGATTGACGATGATTACTTTTGTCCTAATCAAATCCTTGGTGGTATGGTCAACACCTTTTATGATCAATACTCGAAGAAATACAAGACCGCCAAAGAGTTGTGGGACATTCTCAAATTAGTCTACACAACTGAGGAGGCCTGCACCAAAAAGTTCTTGGCTTCTAATTATGTGGGCTTTAAGATTGAAGATGGAAGGTCAATCTTTGAGCAAGCACAGAAATTTCAACTCATAGCAAATGATATTATTGCTGCTGGAATGTCTCTTGATGAGAACTTCCATGTAGGGGTTATTATTACAAAACTCCCTCTATCTTGGAAGGATTTTTGGAATAAGCTCATGCACAAAAAGGAAGATATTACTCTAGAGCAATTAATGCAACACATCTTCATTGAAGAAGAAACCAGAAATCGTGATGTCAAGCAAGATTCTAAAGAAACAACAGTAAAAGCTCATGTTGTTGAGGAAAGGTCTCACAACAAAACCGTCAAGAAGAATCACAAGAAGAATGATTTGAAAGCCAAGTCTTCTGAAAGCTTCAAAATACGTTTTGGCTCTGGTGCAAATGCAAAAGACAAAGGGTGTTTCTATTGTCATAAGATCGGTCATTTTGCTAAAGATTGTTGAAAACGAAAAGCTGATCTCATGAACCAGAAAGAGCCTAAGAAATACGCTAAGGAAGATCTAACTGCTGTAATCACTGAGGCTTTTGTCATTGGAACCTCAGTGGAGTGGTGGATTGATACTGGAGCAACTCGTCATATTGCAACGAATCTTAACTCTTTCAAAACCTACGAAATAGTGGGGGATGGAATGTCAATGTTCATGGGAAATTCTTCATCTTCCAAGGTTGTGGGTAAAGGAAGCGTGGACTTAAAGTTTACTTCCAGAAAAGTGATTACTCTGAAAGATGTGCTACATGTTCCAGATATTTGCAAGAATTTGGTGTCTGGTGCCCTCCTCTCCAAGCATGGATTCAAGATGGTTTTTGAATATGATAATTTCATTCTGTCTAAGAATGGTGTGTTTGTCGGGAAAGGCTATGTTGCAAATGGTATGTTTAAACTTAATGTTGAAAATGAAGTAATTTCTGCTTATATTGCTGAGTCAATTGATTTATGGCATGGTAGATTAGGCCACGTGAATTTAAAGTCCATTAATCAAATGGTTAATGAGGGGTTAATCACAGTTTGTGATAAAACACATATGGATCAATGTGTGACTTGTAGTAAATGCAAAATTACTAAGAAAACCTTTTATTCGATAGAGAGGAAATCCACTCTATTGGAATTGATCCATACTGATGTATGTGAAATGGACTTTTTATCACGTGGAGGGCATCGTTACTTTATCACATTTATTGATGATAATTCTAGATATACATATGTCTATACTTTACGATCTAAAGATGAAGCTTTAGACAAGTTCAAGGCATATAAAGCAGAAGTTGAAAAGCAACTGAATTCAAGCATCAAAGTTATTCGATCAGATAGAGGAGGAGAATACATCAAGTTTGAGTTTCAACATCTATGTGAAGATGAATGAATTGAAAAACAACTGACAGCCTCTTATACTCCTCAATAAAATAGAGTAGCTGAAAGAAAGAACAGAACTTTGACAGAAATGGTGAACTCAATGCTTACCAGTTCGGGCTTACCTAAAAATATGTGGGTAAAAGCTTTGTTATCTGCTTGCCACATTCTCAACAGAGTCCCACATAAGAAAGTCAATATGACTCCATATGAAGTGTGGAGAGGAAGAAAGCCGAATGTTAATTATTTCAGAGTCTGGGGTTGCTTAGCTCACGTTAGACTATCATATCAGCAGACATCGAAGATTGGTTATAAAGGCATTGATTGTGTATTTATTGGTTGTTCAACAACCAGTAAAGCTTACAGATTCTTGAATTTGGAGTCTCCTTCGCCTCATACAATCATCGAGTCAGTTCATGCGAATTTTTTCGAGAATATTTTTCCGAAGAGAGAAGGTAAAAATGAACATGATATTCCTTCAGATTCTAATACAAGGAAGAGAAAATCCTCTGATCCTTCAGAAGAAATTGATCCAAAGAGGAGCTCCAGAATTGCTAAGCCAAAGTCCTTTGGACCAGACTTCTATACTCTTATGATTGAGAATGAGCCTGTAACTTATTCCGAGGCGATGTCCTCACGTGATGCTCCATTCAGGCGAGAAGCAATCGATGATGAAATGCATTCAATTATGTCCAACAATACTTGGATGTTGGTGGATTTTCCTCCTGGTTGCAAGCCAATTGGTTGCAAGTGGATCTTCAGGAAGAAATTAAAGTCAGATGGAACGCTGGATATGTACAAAGCTAGATTAGTAGCAAAAGGTTTCAAGCAGAAGAAGGAGATTGACTATTTTGACACTTTTGCTCCTGTTGCAAGAATTTCTTCTATCAGGCTTTTGATTGCCTTAGATGCTATCAATAATTTGATAATTCATCAGATGGATGTAAAGACTGCTTTCCTCAATGACGATCTAGCAGAGGAAATCTATATGGAGCAACCTGAGGGGTTTGTATTACCTGGACAAGAAAAGAAGGTGTGCAAATTAATCAAGTCATTATACGGCTTGAAACAAGCTCCTAAGCAGTGGCACGAGAAATTTAATAAGGTGATGATATCTGCTGGATTTAAGATTAATGGAGGAGATATATGCATCTTCAGTAGATTTCAAGGAAACTCTGGTGTCATAATCTGCCTCTATGTTGATGATATGCTCATTTTTGGGACAGACATGGAAAGTGTCATAGAAACTAAGAAGTATTTAACTTCTAGTTTTGACATGAAAGATCTTGGCGAGGCTGATGTGATTCTAGGAATCAAAATCGTGAGGTTCCAAAATGGTCTAGCACTTACGCAGTCCAGCTATATCGAGATGATTCTGAAAAAGTTTAGTCACTTTTCAGATTCTGCAGTCTCTACTCCAATTGATCCTAGTGTGAAGTTGGTACGTAATCAAGGTAAAACGATGGATCAACTCGAATATTCTCGGATTATCGGCAGTCTTATGTATGCAATGTATTGCACAAGGCCAAATATAGCCTTTGCAGTGGGTACTTTGAGTAAGTACACAAGCAATCCAGGAAAGGAGCATTGGAATGCTTTGCTAAGAATCCTAAAGTACTTGAAAGGTACTATGGATTATGGATTGCACTATGGCAAATTTCCAGCTGTAATCGAAGGGTACAGCGATGCTACGTGGAACTCTGACAGAGAAGACTCATTATCTGTGACTGCCTGGATCTTCACATTGGGTGGAGCAGCGATTTCATGGAAATCAAAGAGGCAAACATGTATAACTCATTCCTCTATGGAATCGGAGTTTATAGCACTTTCCTCTGCCGGAGAAGAAGCTGAATGGTTGAAAAGCATATTGAAAAATATCCCGATATGGAACAAGCTAATACCACCCTTGACAATATATTGTGACAATATGGCTGCAATACTTCGAGCTAACAGCGAGTGTTACAATGGAAAATCTAGACAGGTGCGATTAAAGCACAATCATGTGAGAAGGATCCTAGCTGATGGAATTATTTCTACTCAGTATGTGAAGTCCAAATCAAATTTGGCAGATCCATTGTCAAAGGGCTTGGGTAAGGACCAAGTGTTCGAGACATCGAAAGGGATGGGATTAAAGCCTGTAATTGAATAAGTTGTACTGTTATGGGAACCCAACGCAGTGATATTTCTCCTGGGTTCAATGGGAAAAACAAGTAACATAACAACTTATGTGAGCACATCAATGTTCATTTCCCTATTATGTGATGTGGTGCTCAATCC